CCCCCCCCCCCTCCCTCCCCATAATCCATACTTATAAAATTATCGGTTTCTCTCAACGACCCTTTGTTCACACGGTAGCACAAGAATATTCGATAATAATAAGCTACGAGGTATCGAAATAAGCTCTCATCGATCGCACAGGAAAGCCCGCATCGAGTGGAAAACTAAAATTAGAATAAATGCACGGAATTCGCGCAACGGGCGGCTATTGTCACTTTTCGATGACCGAAAGTAAATGCTTTGCGTTGGCATTTACCGTTGATAAATTTGACGTACAGCACCACGTGGAGAGAGAGCGGCAAGGCATGTATTCTTGGCGCACGTTTCTGGCATAAAACGCCAAAGGCGTCGCCGATTCTCGCACCGCCCGGGCTTCACGTCGTGCACGTGAGCCAGCACCGTCCGTGATCGATCTTAACGTCGTCCGGCAAACGATTTAGCCGCCACCGGTACGACATCGCTGAACGCTGGGTCAACGGCCCAGTGTGCAATTGTTGCTACTTTGCCTTCGCGTAATCGGACCGTCCTTAAAAATGCGCTCTACGAATTGTCCCGTCACGCCAACTCGCGATTCGAGCAGCGGCGAATTAGAAAGATCGCCTTTTATTTCTGTCAAGTATCTCAACTAGTCAGATATAGATAGACGGAATACGTAGTATCGTGCAGTCAAAAAAATGTAATTGTTTGACGCCTAAAGTCCGTATTTATCACTTGAGGCTTGTCTCATCTGAGATATTCAGATTTTTACTCAGAGTTAGATTCAAATTTTTCAATTGAGTTGTATAATATATGTGACATTATATTTGTAATCAAGATTCAACTGAAAAACTTTCGTCTAACTCTAAATTCAAATCTAAGTATTTCACTTGGGAGAAGTAACTTGGTTTAAGTAACGACTATTTTTCTTGCTCGGTTTGACATAATCTACTTGGTTAGACATTTTGTTAAAAGGATTTTGAAAGAATCTTCTTTTCAGGTCATAACATAAGAGGATTCTGCTAAAATTGAAATTATGTTTCGTTGTGTGAGTGTGTAATGTATATTTAGTTTAAAATTAAGACGTTTTCTACGGTCATGGAGTACGGTATCGTGCTGTTGTAACTTGAAGATCGATAATTAAGCATCGAATTTCTCCGGTGATCAAGAGGAGAAAAACGGAAACGTCTCTGTTCGATAAGATCTTTAAAGCACGGTGCACCCGGTAACGGAACTAATTTCTCCGTTTGCTTAAACACGTGTACCGAAAGAAAAGGAACAACGTTGAACGTTTCAAGAGCCGTCCGCGGATACGGACAGCGAGAGTCCGTTCGACCTTTTTCCCAATGTTTTCTCCAGCGACGGAAATAAAGAGGGACTCTCCTTCCCTCTCGAGAAAGAAAGAAAGAGAGAGAGAGAGAGAGAGAGAGAGAGAGAGAGAGAGAGAGAGAGAGA